ATATTCACCTTAGCTGCTAATCCTCCTTTATTTCAGGAGACAGAACACACCATGCTCATCCAGAGGCTTCAATTTAGTTTACGGCCGAATAGCGGAGTTTTTGGGCCTTTCGGCCAACTTAGGTAACCCGCTTACCTGTTATTCATGTGAGGCGCCTCTCCCCTCTGGATGCGAACGGCTGCTCCGCTCATGGGTCGAATCTCACTGCTACTCGTGTACTCGAAGATCATCACGTCGGGGTCAACATCTGAAGGATTTGGTGTGTTCAAAATGATCCGAGCACAGAATTTCAGGAGCACTTCACCTTAGTATAAAAGATTTAATTGAGACAAAGTTAAAGTATGCAGATATTACATGTAATCAGAATGCATTCTGAGGAACAAGTCAGAGCGAACCTTGCCTGGTCAATCAGCCGATGTTTGTTCAACCAAACTTTGTGTCTGAGCGAGATTTATAGATTTGTCATGTCCCGCCCTTTCGGGTTCAGACAGACTTGTGATTGGATGTCAAGACCTCTTGGTAGTCTGGGTGACACCATGTTCAGCCACTCAGGAGCATATCTTACCTTCATGGCAACCTCCGAAGGCCACAGACAGCTTTTGGCTCATTCCTACTGATAAGGGTTGATTTAAGAGCTTTGTTTTGGAACGCATGACACTTACTCTGGCTCTCGTCTGTGTAAAGCTTTAAAACATGTTTTCTGTGTGTCTGAACTATTATTAATGTGAGAGCATAAATACTCAACCTGTGTTAAGTATAAAGTATATGAATGTTGTGATTTAGCGTTATTTGTGTTTAATCAACGTGTGAGCAGTGTGTCACATTGGTGGGCCCTCACTCTCAGCTGCTTTACTCAGAGAACAAAGAAGTATCGTTTCCTGTTGCACGAACAAGTGTCTTACCTGTCTCTGTTTCCCTCAGAATTATATCAAATGTGAACTTGCACTATCCTTAGCACTTGTGAGATTATATATAACATGAAGTAATTAGTGTATGATTATACACGCACACACCTTGTAGAAAATGCATCATTTCACCTCATCAGAGAAATGTCAAGGCTTGTCAAAAGATATAAAAAGATCTACAAGATATCAAATCCAACAATACCAACAGTCTGGGGAGACTCTTTTGTTTATCCTCTGCGAGGCTCACTTTACCGCAGTGCCATAACGTTCCCAAATAGGACACCACAACTAGATGAAAGGGTCTCCTGCCAGGCTGCTAATGCTACGTGTGCTATAAGACTATAACGCTGTGCTGAACTTCACTTCCTCTGCGCATTATCTCCCGTTAATAAAATTAAATGAGTGAAAATACAACAGAAACGGCACGTGGACCGAACCTAACACGCTGTACCAAAACGGTTCAATACACCCGTGGATGTCTACAATCTTCTTCGTCTGTTTCATGTTCAATGTTGTGTACACAGCTGTAGCAAACTACTCAGAAGTTTTTTCTGGGATAAATATCCATCCATCCATCCATCCATTTTCTTACGCTTATCCGGGGTCGGGTCGCGGGGGTAACAGCCTAAGTAGGGAGGCCCAGACTTCCCTCTCCCCAGCCACTTGGGCCAGCTCTTCCGGGAGAATCCTGAGGCGTTCCCAGGCCAGCCGAGAAACATAGTCCCTCCAGCGTGTCCTGGGTCTTCCTCTGGGCCTCCTTCCGGTGGGACGTGTCCGGAACACCTCACTAGGGAGGTGTCCAGAAGTCATCCTAAACAGATGCCAAGCCACCTCAACTGGCTCCTCTCGACGTGGAAAAGCAGCGGCTCTACTCTGAGTCCCTCCCGGATGATCGAGCTTCTCACCCTGTCTCTAAGGGAGAGCCCAGACACCCTGCGGAGAAAACTCATTTCGGCCGCTTGTATCCGAGATCTCATTCTTTCGGTCACAACCCAAAGCTCGTGACCATAGATGAGGGTAGGAACGTAGATCGATCGGTAAATTGAGAGCTTCGCCTTTTGACTCAGCTCTCTCTTCACTACGACAGACCTGTACAGCGCCCGTTTCACTGCAGACGCTGCACCTATCCGCCTATCGATCTCACGCTCCACTTTCCCTCATTCGTGAACAAGACCCCAAGATACTTGAACTCCTCCACTTGGGGTAGGACCACCTCCCTGACCCGGAGAGGGCACTCTACCCTTTTCCGGCTCAAGGCCATGGCCTCGGATTTGGAGGAACTGATCTTCATCCCGGCCGCGTCTCATGCGGCTGCGAACCGCTCCAGCGAAAGCTGTAGATCGCGATCTGATGAAGCCAATAAGACCACATTGTCTGCAAAAAGCAGAGACGCAATCCTAAGGCCACCAAAACGGATCTCCTCAACACCTTGGCTGCGCCTAGAAATTCTGTCCATAAAAATTATGAACAGAATCGGTGACAAAGGGCAACCTTGGAAGAGTCCACTCTCACCGGGAACAAGCCTGATTTACTGCCGGCGATGCGGACCAGGCTCTGACACCGGTCATACAGGAACCTAACAGCCCATATCAAAGGGTCCGGTACCCCATACTCCCAGAGTACCCCCCACAGGGTCCCCCGAGGGACGCGGTCGAACGCCTTCTCCAAGTCCACAAAGCACATGTAGACTGGTTGGGCAAACTCCCACGCACCCTCCAGGACCCTGCTGAGAGTGTAGAGCTGGTCCAGTGTTCCACGGCCAGGAAAAAAACCGCACTGCTCCTCCTGAATCCGAGGTTCAACTATCCGACGGACCCTCCTCTCCAGAACCCCCGAATAGACCTTACTAGGGAGGCTTAAGAGCGTGATTCCCCTGTAGTTGGAACACACTCTACGGTCCCCCTTTTTGAATAGGGGGACCTCCAACCTGGTCTGCCAATCCAGGGGAACTTCCCCCGATGTCCACGCAATATTGCAGAGTCGCGTAAGCCAACACAACCCTACAACATCCAGAGCCTTAAGGAACTCTGGGCGAATCTCATCCAGCCCTGGGGCCCTGCCACCGAGGAGCTTTTTAACCACCTCGGTGACCTCAGCACCAGAGATTGGAGGGCCAGACCCAGAGTCCCAAGGCTCCGCTTCCTCAGTGGAAGACGTGCCGGTGGGATTGAGGAGGTCTTCAAAGTATTCCGCCCACCGACCCACAACATCCCGAGTTCAGGTCAGTAGCACACCACTCCCACTATAAACAGTGTTGGTGGCGTACCGCTTTCCCCCCCTGAGACGCCGGATGGTGGACCAGAATTGCTTCAAAGCCGTGCGGAAGTCGTTCTCCATGGCCTCTCCGAACTCCTCCCATGCCCGAGTTTTTGCCTCAGCAACCACCCGAGCCACATGTCGCATGGACTGCCGGTACCCATCAGCTGCTTCCGGGGTCCCACAGGCCAAAAAGGTCCGATAGGACTCCTTCTTCAGCCTGACAGCATCCCTCACCGACGGTGTCCACCATCGGGTTCGAGGGTTGCTGCCGCGACAGGCACCGACAACCTTGCGGCCGCAGCTCTGGTGAGCCACCTCGACAATAGAGGCACGAAACATAGTCCACTCAGACTCAATGTCCCCCACCTTCCTCGGAACATGTTCAAAGTTCTCCCGGAGGTGGGAGTTGAAACTCCATCTCACAGGAGACTCTGCCAGACGTTCCCGGCAAACCCTCACAATACGTTTGTGTCTGCCAGGTCTGACCGGCATCCTCCCCCACCATCGGAGCCAACTCACCACCAGGTAGTGATCAGTTGACAGCTCCGCCCCTCTCTTCACACGAGTGTCCAAGACATGTGGCCGCAGATCAGATGAGACGATAACAAAGTCGATCATCGAACTGCAGCCTAGGGTGTCCTGGTGCCAAGAGCACATATGGACACCTTTATGCTTGAACAAGGTGTTTGTTATTGACAATCCATGACGAGCACAGAAGTCCAACAACAGAACACCACTCTGGTTCAGATCAGGGGGGCCGTTCCTCCCAACCACACCCCTCCAGGTCTCACTGTCATTGCCCACATGAGCATTGAAGTCCCCCACCAGAACAAGGGAGTCCCCAGGAGGTGCACTTTCCAGTACCCCCTCCAAGGACTCCAGAAAGGGTGGATAATCTGAACTGCCGTTTGGTGCATAAGCACAAACGACAGTCAGAACCCGTCCCCCCACACGTAGGCGGAGGGAGGCCACCCTCTCATTCACTGGGGTGAACCCCAACACACAGGCACTAAGTTGGGGGGCAATAAGTATGCCCACGCCTGCTCGGCGCCTCTCACCAGGGGCAACTCCCGAGTGGAAGATTGTCCAGCCCCTCTCATGGAAACCGGTTCCAGAGCCCGAGCCATGCGTAGAGGTGAGTCCGACTATTTCTAGCCGGAACCTCTCAGCCTCACACACCAGCTCAGGCTCCTTCCCCACCAGTGAGGTGACATTCCACGTCCCAGTAGCCAGCTTCTGTAGCCGAGGATCAGACCGCCAGGGTCCCCGCCCTCGGCCACCACACATCCCACATTGCACCCGACCCCTTTGGCCCCTCCCACAGGTGGTGAGCCCATGGGAAGGGGGACCCACGTCTCCTCTTCGGGCTGTGCCCGGCCGAGCTCCATGTGTAAAAGCCCGGCCACCAGGCGCTCGCCCGCGTGCCCTACCTCCAGGCCTGGCTCCAGAGTGGGGCCCCGGTGACCCACGTCCGGGCAAGGGAACACTAGGTCCATTTATTTGTTTCATCATCGGGGTCTTTGGGCTGCACTTTGTCTGGTCCCTCACCAATTTACTGGGATGAATGGTTTCAGCCTTCAGCTGTTGAGATCTGGTAAAAAATAAATTGTGACTAAATTGTGTAATTAAATTTATGTAATGTTGTTATAAAGAGCACTGATCTGTTATGGTTGAAAAGCTCGTTACTTTTCTGTCTTTAATCTGTGCACAAGACGTGCCTTCCCCTGTTCCCAGCTCAGGACAGATGAATGAGCTAACCTAAGCTCTGAATGAGCCCCCCCTCCCTTCTCTGTGTCTGTGGCTGGAATAATCCCAGCTGCTATTTGTTCCCTCACAGGCAGAGTAATCTGTCCAGAACCTGGTGAGCTGTTGGCAGGAGAGTCGGAGCACACAGAGACAGCGCAGAGTCTCTCGGTAAGTCTGCTGCTCCATGAGCATTTTCTTCCTTCTCTCAAGTGTTGGTGGAAAAGCTGCTGTGGGCGACATCACTGTTGTCTGCTGTGAACTCAAGCAGAATGTTTGATGGATTCATTAACTTTCTAGAAGTCGTCTGCTAAAACATGCTCACCTTCTGTTTCTGTCCGAGCAGCTTTCTGTAAAAAACAAACAAAAAAAAACCCTGCTCTGTGACAAAAACGTTTGCGTTAACTATAAATGTCGAGAGATGATGTGTTGGATGATAAACGAGATTCTGTTTGAAATGATCACCTGCTGCAGGCTGTGACTTGGACAGTTTAGTTCAGTCCTTCTGGTTCTTGTGTTGGATCGGGCTGCACGTGTGGGTTCTAGTAAATGTACACAAACTGAACTTTATACTTTATATACTGTGTACTTCTGTTTAATATACTATATTATTTTACATTATTAGTGTTTAGCATATATCATAGTGCATATCTTAGATCTTTATGTTTCTTTTTACACTTAATATTTTTGCTAGTTTTGAGTGTAACTGGAACCCTGAGTACACAGTTTTGTTCCACCACATGTGATGGGAATGACAATAAACAACCTTGATATAAAAACTGCCTCCCTCGTCTGTCAGGGATCTCTGATTGATTTGAATGTACTTCAGGTTATGTTTTAGTGTTTGAACGTGTGAGAAGGTCAGGTCTCAATCAGGAGTTACTAATCCATTATATAAGAGAAAAGAGGACAGGGAATTGGGTAATCTGCTCATTCAGAGCGCTTCTAATCCTTCTCAGAAACGTTGGTTTTGTTAGATAAGTTGTATTCTTCAGAATGCCGATCTTTCCAGATTTTTTGTGGTTCCATCCAGGGACGTTTTTCTCCTGATTAAAAAAATTCTGCAGTAATAAAGTTTATACATTTTTTAAGAGTTAAAGAGTTGATTGTGATCTGACAGATGCACAAAAACCCTTTGGCCTCTGGAGAACCTTTAACCAAAAGAAGTGATTTGCAGGGGTTTCTGCACCTGACTGGACCGAGCACCTTGCTGTGAGCTGAATACAGAACAAAGTATTTTATTTAGTTTTATTTAACTTTTATTTTATGAAAAGTAATGTTGTACCACTGAGAGCCTATATCTTATCCCCAAAGGAGTCCTGGCCAAGACAGCAGCTGAACTGTTTCACTTTTTAAACACGACAAAATTCAAACAAACATCTGACCGTTCAGATTGAAGCAAGATAATCTTCAGCAGTTTTTGGTAACAGATGTGGATTTAATACTCATATTTTTAAAATAATAAATACTTGGCAGGTAGATTAATTTAAGATAGCCCTGTAACTCACAGACAGTTTGTATTTGAGGAGGAACATGGATGGTTTGCCCATCGGACCAAAGACTGCATCTTCTGGTGACTTTAGAGACTGTAAAGAACCAGTAAATGTACCAGTGTTCCAGTCTACAACTGTGTAAAGTAGGCAAACCAATATTTTTATACAGGTTGCATGGTGAGTACAAAAACTAGAAGCAGTCACAGAAGATTGAAGCTCCAACCTTTTGTCTGATAGATGAAGACTTGTGCACGCACACCGACCTTCATGACTGCTTCGTCACGGCTCCGTTAATTCCAGACGACTGTCTGGTTGTATGATTAGAGCCATGAAGGAGTCTGAACATTAAGCAGGATCATAACTGCTCTACTTCCACACAGCACTTGGACAATGAAAGTAAACCAGGTCACTGAGGAGCTTCTGTGTTTAGTGACGTCTCTGTTTGTGTGTTTTGTTTCTTTTGAAAAGAAATCCCTGCTGAAGCAGCTGCAGACATGGGACGCCAAGAGGGTGACTACGCATGGAAGAAGACCACTGAAAACATCCAGGAGATCTTTGACTTCATAGAAGAGTTGGGATCGTACGTATCTCCCTTGTTCGTTGAACGGAGTCATTTTCACCGCCTAGCTCTGAGCCCGTCTTGGAAATGTTGTGCAGCTGGATGTCAGATGGACAGATTTACACTTTGATTGGATTGACAACAAGAGGCCTACTTTAGAGGAGGCCCAGACAGTAAGATGGTCTGGCTGTTAGTCAGACTTTAATAAAGGAGCCTAAGAAGGCGGCAGGAGTTCATTCATAAAAAATAAAAACCATAAGGTTGTATTTTGTTTTTTAAAGCTGTGCTACTAAAAAGAATCATCCCATCTGAGAACAACAGAGACAGACAGGGTTGATGTTAGGTCAAATGTTTGATGTGCAGTATTGTTAATACTAACAAGGTTCCTCTGCTAGAGGACCTGACTTGTTGGGTTTATCTACCTGGATCATTTTCCTCACTTCCTCTTCTGACGTCAGTCATCTAAACAACACATCAAGGCCAGTCAAGGTGCACTGGATTGACCACAGAAATTATAAGCATGCCAAATATTAATGCTAATGCTACTTGAATCATAATTTTCCATGAGGAACAAACACCATTTATTGATTTATTATAGTTGGAGCAGTTTGTTGTGAGAATGACCTCGTCTGGCTATCCATTACTGTTGCCTGGATGAAGACTTCTGCCTTTTTCTTTATACTTCCTGCTCTGTCTGTCACAGCTGATAATATCAATGATAACTATTTGACAAAATCTCACTTCAGAGGTAACTCCTTTCAGATGATTATAGGAGAAAATGAGCTCTGGTAACCATGCAGTCTATACACTGCTTGGGCAGCGGTCGTTGTGGCTGTTCTTCATGTTTTACAGAAGTGTGTCACCTCCTAGACAGACGGCAGCTTCATCATATCCCATGTCTGCCCACAGTCCTTGACCGCAGTCTGTGACCTGACCCGCCCAGTCCTTAGGGCTCCTGCTCAGAAGCTGACCTTTGTGCTCAGAGACCTCAGCTGGCCACTGTTTCCATTGCGTCAGGGATAAAGGCCCTAATCCACCCGATGGAACAACTATTCCCAGCATGAGCTGAAGATAGCATGGGAACAGAACATCACAGAGCACAATAATGAGCTTCTGACATCTGAATAGTTAATCCACAGAGTTCCTGGTCACATTTAAAATCTGCCATTTGGTGATTTCTGCGATGCAGAAGTTAAGTTAAGATGTTTTAAATTGTCTCCCACTGCAGGAAATTCAAACCAGAAGAGTCAGAGGCTGTCAAAGTAAAAAACATGGCATTTCTTAAAGGAATGCATAATCACCCACAGCCTTTCATACCAGAGTTTGTGCAAACTAATGTCAATTAGAAGTGGCAGCCATCTTGAATTTTGTTGATTCGATAAAACTAATTATTTGCAGATGTAGAGCCAATAATTATTTTCCAAGTGTTTCATTGAAAGCCTTTCAGTAGTTCATGAGATATTTTGCAAACAGATGCAGCCCCCCCCCCCCCCACACACACACACACACACAGGTAAAACCATTATCCTCAGGCTGTACAGAAACTGGGTTACTGCTTTCTGCTGCTACGGTCCTCAGATGTTAATCTACTTGGCCTCGCTTTTAAGTGAGGAGGCTCATTTTGTGTCACCCAGAGGATAACTAGTTAGTGATGATGTCATCTAACCATTTTCATTTCTGTGTTGTTTACCAGGGGGGCGTTTGCAGAAGTTTTCATGGTGAGAGAAAGGAAAACGGGAAAGACTTTTGCCATGAAGTGTGTGAAGAAGAAGAAGAAGAGGGACATCAACCTGGAGAATGAGATCACAGTGCTAAGAAGGTAAAGTTTTATAAACCTCCACGCTCCCCCAGCAGCTTGATCCTTTGGATTAAAGTGTTCTGGTTTCAGTTTGTTGAACTTAAAGCAGCATCATAACAAAACATGTTTGTTTGTTTTTTCAAACAGAATCAAACATGAGAACGTTGTGGGGATGGAGGGTTTCTATGAAAGTCGGACTCATTACTATCTGATCATGCAGCTGTGAGTTTCATCTTATTGATTACATCAAATTAATTTTCGTCAAATTTAAAGAGTTTATTTCAAACCAATGTTCAAGTTTCTTCACAAGTTTATTGACCACCTCCAAAATCTAATCAGCAAATAACACAAGTTTTAACATCTCTGATACTTGGCATGCATTATTGATATACATGATGAACATTTGTAACCCTAAAACAGACCCTTGGGGTGCACCACATGTGACATTGATTTATTTTGGTTTATCTGTACAAATTGTTGTTTTATACTTCAACCATACTTCTTTATATTTCTTTATTTTTCTAACCAGTACACCCTGAGTGATGGTGCTGGATGTTTTATTGAGCTCTTAAAGCACTCCAACTTTTTGCATCAGTACATTCCACTGCTTCTTCTTCATAAGTGGCTAACCACTTCTTCAGTAGTTAGCACCGCTGCCTCACAGCAAGAAGGTCCTGGGTTCAATCCCCGGCTGGACCTGGGGTCTTTCTGTGTGGAGTTTACATGTTCTTCTCGTGCTTGTGTGGGTTTTCTCCGGGTACTCCAGTTTCCTCCCACAGACCAAAAACATGCATGTTAGGCTTCAGGCCCGGGCCTCCCTTGCAAAAGAGATCTGTGATCTCAATGGGATTTTCCTGGTTAAATAAAGGTTAATAAGTTCCATCCTCTGATCTAAGTGAACATGTCTGAGGATCATCTCTGACCGGTTGCTATAATGTGTGTTCATGTGTCAGTGTTTCAGGCGGAGAGCTCTTTGACCGGATCCTGGACCGAGGGGTGTACTCAGAGAAGGATGCCAGCAGGGTGATCCAGCAGGTGCTGCAGGCCGTCAGCTACCTGCACCAGAGCGGCGTTGTGCATCGGGACCTCAAGGTAAGATGTTGACAACATACTGGTCCACAAACGTGACTTTCAACTTTCAGCTCCTCTTTTCTCAGTCAGTGTGCATCCGTTGTAGCTAATAAGGTGTAGGGGTTTGCTTATTTTGGTTGGGTTGACATCAGTACTAATTTAAAATGGTCATTATTACTTGAACAATTGGATCATTGTGGTTATGAATAAGAAAAACAACAATGTTGTTTTGGTGAAAGCTACAGGCAGCTGCAGCATGCGGCCATGGAAACTCAGGTTTAGAACAAAGCAGGGACGTTTGTCTCATGAGTGCTTGTCCTCCTTCAGCCGGAGAACATCCTGTACTACAGCCAAGACGATGACTCTAAGATCATGATCAGTGACTTCGGCCTGTCGAAGATGGCCGAAAACGGCATCATGTCGACAGCCTGTGGCACCCCAGGCTACGTAGGTGAGGAAACAAGACTTATCTTGTTAAAAACGTATAAAGAATAAAATACTGGGGGGCTGAACTGGGAGACTGGAGCATCTAAGGTTTCAGCGCAAATATAGTAGGCTGCTTATAATGTGTTTTTTATGCCTTTATTTTTGCCATACCTTTAACATTTCTTCTCATTCTCAGCTCCTGAAGTTTTGGCCCAGAAGCCTTACAGCAAGGCAGTGGACTGCTGGTCTATTGGTGTTATTACCTACATCTTGTAAGTATCTGCTCCAGAACCTTCATTAAGGGATTGATTTTCAGATTATAGACTGCTGCTGTGTGCATCATATCACACAAAGACAGGTGCTGCAGTGGTTGAGTGATAGCACCCTCTAGTGTCTGGCAGGACAAGTGCAATACACTGTAGAATAGTTTTGGAGTTAAATCCCCCCCCCCCCACCCCCCACCCAAATAAAAAAGATAAACATCAATCTTTTCCCTGCAGACTCTGTGGATACCCCCCCTTTTATGAAGAGACCGAGACAAGACTGTTTTCCAAAATCATGAAGGCCCAGTATGAGTTTGACTCGCCCTTCTGGGATGACATATCTGAATCTGGTAATTACACAACATGCTGCATCTACAGAGCACTGTTCTTGTTCACACTTTCTTACTTTTGATCTGCAGCAAAGGATTTTATCCGTAACATGATGCAGAAGAATCCTAGCATGCGCTATACGACAGAGCAGGCGCTCCGACATCCATGGTGAGTTCCACTCGTTATCTTAGTCAGGAAACAACAAAGTGTTAGGTCACTCAGTAGAAAACAAAAGGATTAAATAAGAAGTCCCAATAAATCAGCTGGTCAGAGTCCAGGCTAATCGGTACCTTGAAATAAATTTAAGCTTTCTGTTACGTGATCTGTTCCTCAGGATTATTGGAAAGACAGCGAGGAGCCAGGACATCTATTATTCTGTCAGCGCTCAAATCCAGAAGAACTTTGCCCAGTCCAGGTGGAAGGTCAGTCTGCACTGATTTCTTGGCTCCATTGTGGCACACACTATCCAGGTGTCCGTCCGAGTTCTTCCTGATAAAGGATGCTTAAGTTAGATGTTGTGATGTAAATGTCACTAATGGATGGTGACGTATAGTTACAGTCAGTGACAACTAAGCCAAACTGAACTGTTCAGCACTAGAAAGGACTCTTAACACATGAGTGTATTCTCTGGATAAAGACAAGAAACATTATCAGTGAATGTGTCCTTAATGTCAAAGTGAAGCTCAGGTTAGATCTCTTACAGACTCCTGTCTATGTTTGATTCACAGCAAGCCTATAATGCTGCTGTAGCCATCAACCACATGAAGAAGCTGCAGCTGGCCCACTCGGAGCTGATCCAGAGGCAGGCCAGCGTCCCCGACATCAGAGTGATCGATGTGTCCTCACCAACAAAGACCCGCAGACATGTCGATCTGGACAAGCTGGAAGCCGAGGCGGCGGATGTCAATGGGAACATTGAGACGCATCACATGTCTCTACCCCTGAGCCACGTAGACCTGAAGAACCACCTCCACCCACTGAAGGCCACTCAGAGTCATGGGGTTGCACACCACCCCCACATTACAGCTGAGCAGGGGAAACACATCTACCACTCAGAGCCAGCCAACCTGAACGGGTATGGATCAGCATCGTTAGGTTGCACACCTGGACTGTTTGATTTAAAAGAAGGACTAAAACACGATCAAACTATTCTGTTTCCAGGTACGCTAAAAACGGGACCGCTTTGCAAACTGGAGTTTGCTCCATCATGTAACTGCTGCATGGAGTTTCATGGAATAAAGCTTTTCATGGTAGGTTCATGTAAAGTTTATAGTTATGATGTTTGGAAACAGTTCAGTGAAAGAGCATTCCTTGAAATATTACATATCACTCATCACATTTCAGTCCAACTTTTAAACTAAAGTCAACTTTTGACTAAAACAGCTACAATTCTGTTTCAGTCAAACCAAGTTTTTAGCTCAATATCTGTGAAACTCACTGAGTTTTACCTACTTTTGTCAAATGTCAAAGTCAGAGGTTCTTTATTTGTCATTCGCACCACATGTGGTACATGTGGTGGAACGAAATTGTGTACACAGGGTCCAAGTTACATCCAACAAAAGTATAAAAATATAAAAGAAAAACAGTAATAAGATCTAATATATGATCTAAGAAAAACGTTAACTAAGAACACACCAAGCACTAGTAGTATAAAAATAATACGCCGAACAGCAGCACGAACATGAGTCTGTGTGAGCAGATGAGCACGAATGAACACAGCAACATGAAACAGATCATCAGCAACATGAAACAGATCAGCAGCAGCATGGAACAGATCAGGAGCAACATGAAACAGATCATCAGCAGCATGGAACAGATCAGGAGCAACATGAAACAGATCAGCAGCAGCATGGAACAGATCAGCAGCAACATGAAACAGATCAGCAGCAGCATGGAACAGATCAGCAACAGCATGAAACAAATTAGCAGCATCATGAAAAAGATCAGCAGCAACATGATGTGATTTTTCACAGTGATTATTCTGGTTAGAGATTCATGAGTCTAACAGCCTCAGGGTAGAAGCTGTTCCTCAGTCTAGTGGTTCTACACTTAATGCTCCTTAACCTCCTTCCTGAGGGGAGCGGGGCAACAAGTGTGTGTGCTGGGTGAGTGGGGTCCTTCATGATGCAGGTGGCTCTATTCCTGCATCTGGAGGTGTAGATGTATGTGATGGTGGGGAGACTGACTCCAACAGACTTCTTGTGTTAGCTAAGGTAGACTGGCTGTGGTGGCCATCTTGGATTGTGTTGACTCCTGAAGTTAATGAATTTCAGACATACATCCAAATGATAAGTTTCTGAGAGTTTATTTGAAATCTGTTCGTGAGATATTTTGCTAACAACACAGACAAACAAATGGACACACACAGACAAGAGCAAACAGCTAAACTTCCTTTTCACTTCAGTGGTGAGCAATAATGGAGTTCACCAGATTCAAGATGGCTACTCTAACATACCAAAAAGATCTGTCAGGTTTGCAGCTACTGAGCTAAGATTTGGTGGAGTTGTGTGCACAACACACGCTGAGTGCCAACACACTGCACAAGATCTTAACCTTCCATAAATAGATAACCCCATTCAAAATGGCTGACACCTCCAACTCATTAGAAAACATGAAAGTGTTACGTTTTGGACTGGTTCACACATATTGTGGAAAAGCACAACATATTCCAAGTGTGACTCATTGTGCAGATTTTTTGCTTAAAGCTTCAGCATTAACTCTTGGAGTCAACTATGTTTATCTGTTAGCAAAATATCTCAGTAACCAGAGAACAGATTTTAATGGAACACCCAATAATTAGTCATTTGATTTACATCTACAGCTGCTCAGCTTTTGAAGTCAGCTTAATTCAAAATGTCCGTCAGAGCCAAGTGAGCTTAAAAACACATGTCTTTAACTCTGAGTAGCAGCAGAGAGTCACACTGCTCTCTGCACATGACAGTAAGTAAAAATAGGTTTTCATCATCAGATTTTGTTTTTCAACTCTGGCAGCATGAAAGGTGTCACAGATGTATGTTCATGATGGTGTCTCTAACCCTGCATGCGTCTGCCTCCTCCAGGTCACTTCTGCTGTTTGGACTCAGCATGAAGCTGTTTTGTGTCAGCAGCTCCTCTGGGCTCAGAGTGGGAGGTGTGGGAGCCTCCGGTGGACCCAGGTGGTCTGCATGCTTCACAGTCGGGGGATTTTATTTCAGAGTGCCAATGAAACTTCCTATGAAGCAAGCACACTTACTGAACTTTAAGATGTTTAAAGCTCCAGTTCAACATGATTCATTTAGAAGGTGGGGGTCAGTTGCCCACTTACCTTCTCTTATACGTGATGATCATAAAGTCAAGCTGGTTTTGTAAATTAATTACAGCGTAATTAATGCTGGCGTCATTTAATGTGCATATTTATTCACTTTACATTGTTTATTTTGTTATTTTGAATGTAAATGCTGTAATTTATAATTGCCAATGTGTAGCTCTGATGCCATCAGCAAAGTAAAATATGTATTGTTATTTGGAGGACGGTTGTCTTTGTACTGTAAGTGGATTTATTTGAACAGTGCTTTGCTTTGTGTTTCTGAAGCTCTGTGCTGTTTTCTTGTGTCATGTATTCACCAACTAAATAAGCTTTTCAATGTATTCTTTTTGGACCTTGTTTGCTCAAAAATAAAATAAAATTCAATTCAATTCAGTTTATTTATGAAGCATCAAGTCACAACAGAAGTTGTCTCAGGACACTGAACAGAAATATTCACATACAGAAATGCCAATTAGTAAAGTTCTCTATCAAAGGAAGGAAAAGCATCCTCACTAAAATTTACTTCAGTCATTATAAAAATAAAAAAAATCTCACCTACAAACTTTTCAACCATCTCCATTTTGTTTATAAGCGAAAGTACCTAATTGAAGCTAATTAACAGTTACAGCACATGATCACCAAAGACAAATATCAAGTCTAGAATTTTTTTCGTCCACTTTTATTCTGTAATCTATCTAGGCCTAATATTTTATAACCTGCCCCAACCCCCCCCCCCCCCCTCCCACACACACACACACACACACACACACAGTGTACCATGACACTTGTTACAGAGACACATCCTCTCTAAGCGGATCCGCTCAGCAGCCAGACCCACAGGTGCTGGCCTATTTCTGGGTAACTCCTGATCGCTCCTCCTGCCTGTCCTCCCTCCACGGCAGTTTCCACAGGCGCCCCGACAGCAGGCGTTGCAGGACTGGGAACCATGGTGCATTCACGCGCTTGGGGGCCACCAGGAGCGCTGTCAATCCCTCCTCCTGAACTCGGTTCAGGAACCGTAAAATCAGAGGAGGTGGAGGAAACGCGTACAGAAGCGTTTTGGGCCATGGGTTGTGGGCAAACGCATCCACCCCCAGCGGTGGTTCGTCTCGCGGGCTCAGAGAAAACCATAGTTGACACTGAACGTTTTCTCGTGTCGCAAACAGGCCCACAGCTGCTTTGCCAAATTTCTGCTACGTCTGAGCCATCAGATCTGGATGGAGAGTCCAGTCCCTGTGACGTGGACCGCCCCTGGATATCACATCTGCCCCTTTGTTCAGAACACCGGGTATGTAAACTGATCTGATGGAGAGCAGATTTTGGTGTGCCCAACACAGTAGTTTTCACGCAATGTGTAACATCTGGGCTGGTCGCACACCCCCCTGCCGGTTTATGTACGCAGCAGTCACCTTGTTTTCTGTGTGAATCAAAACGTGTTGATTCTGCAGCACAGGAGCAAAGTGTTGAATCACGTTCAGCACCGTGCGACACTCCAAAACATTTATGTGGGCTGATGTGTGATGGGGCCACAGCGCCCTTACAGCTTGAGATAGGCATGTCCCCCCCCCCCCCCCCCAGCCTGACAGCGACACGTCTGTGAAGACTGGCACGTGTGACGTGGGTCTGCTGACAGGGACTCCCTCTGACAGAACCAGGGTGTTTCCCCAGTATCGGAGGTCTGCCCTCACGGAGGGAGGAACAGTGATCATCCGTCTCTTTTGTTTTACTGGATCCACACGAAGACGCGCAAACCACCTCTGGAGGCGTCTCGTGTAATAAACCCAGTGGGACAACTGTGTGAGCTGACGACATCGTCCCTAACAGCTTCATGACGGCAACAGCTGTTATCACTCTGCCAGGTCTTACGTGGCGGATCCGGTCTTCCAGAGTGTCGATTCTCGTTTGTGATAAACGAGCCCTCATGGTGGTTGAGTTTAGCTCCACTCCCAGATAAACAATTGTCTGGGCCGGGAAAATCGAACTTTTCTTCCAATTTATGGCGAAGCCCAGATTTAACAGGTGTGATGTCAGCGCCTGGGCCTGTCTCGTTGCCTCCTTTCTGGAGTGTGACAGCAGCAGCAGGTCGTCCAGGTAAAACAAAACTCTCATCCCTGCTCTGTGTAACGGTTGCAGGGCCGTCTCCACACACTTTGAGAACGTACGAGGCGCGAGGGAATAACCGAACGGCAGCCTGTTGTACTGATACTTCATCCCTTGAAAGGAGAAACGCAGGAGTTTTCTGTGTTTTGGGATGATCGGTATGTGAAAATAGGCATCTTTCAGGTCGACGGAAACAAACCAATCGTTTCTCTGGATGTTGTCCAACAGCTGTCTGGTTGTCAACATGTGAAACGGTCTGTCCATGAACGCCTTGTTGAAAACTGACAGATCCAAAATGGGTCTCATCCCTCCGGTCCGTTTGGGAAACAGGAAGTAACGTGAGTAAAACCCTGTGTCTTCCTCTCCGTTGGGAACTCTGGAGATTACTTCTTTTACCAGAAGTTCTTGGACTTCTGCATTTAGGGATGAGACTTGGTCTGGTGATGACAGGACCGTCTCTAAAATTCCTCCAAACGGAGGGGGTCGGGTTGTAAATTGCAACGTGTAACCCTAGCTCAACAACCTGGCCATCCATCTGTCTGGCGAGCATGTTTTTAGCCACTTCACGTAACGTTCGTGGAGTGGACGTGCGTTTAAGTGATGTGTAGATGAACATATGCTGAGATATATTCATCAATTAAAACGGGTTCTTCATTTTTCTGGACTGTGTAACATACGTGCATTGAATTTAATGAAATGTGGACGTGAGACGTTAATTATCTTTGACTCACCACGACAGTGGGTCATTTATTAACAGAATCAAGTTTAACACATCAAACATTTACATTAATTTGGCTAAATATGAAAATAACAACATAATTAATCAGCGAGCTGTACAATTATGATCAATTATCCACACGGCGGTGGATGAGCACTTTACATAGACATTTCTAAAAATATCTGTCAATGATTTCTACTTGATAGAAGAATTTTTAAAGATGGAAAGATGAAGTTTAGTGGGAGTGAAAGATGGATGAGAGAGAATGTGGTGTGTATGAGTGAAAAGTGTTGACAGGACGACACCCTCCATCCGACCCAGCTTTTCCTCGGTACGCTCAGTAGTGGACTAGACTCATTTACCTCTCTGACGATAAATCAGAAGAAGAAGAGCTCCAGTTAACGCTACCTTTCAGCGTCTCCATAGGATGGCTGTGACTCGTCCGAAGTAGTGACGATATCCCGTCTGACACAAGTTCACCTCAGCCAGTGGACCTCACATGAGTGGGGTTCGTCCGAGTTCCACTCAGAGGTGAAGATGTTATAATCCCATAAAACTCGGAAGAGCTCTATCATGTCAGGGTTTTCCTGTTTCCCAGCCAGACTCCAACAGAACTTCACAGAACTCACAGAACTGAGAACTGGGCACATCACAGAACTGCCACTTCACCGAACATCTCCGAACTGCGATCATTTCAGAACTGGGAGAACTAGGAAGTACCGACATTTTAAAGGCTCTATTCCCGGTTCATTTGGGAGTCCCTGATTGGTCAATGTCGACCAGACAGGAGTGTGTTTTGTGATGTAAGAGATTACTAGAAGTCAGAAAACAGCAAGAATGTTATTGGAACAGATTGAAAATGTTCCCAGACAGGCGAGAGAAATGTTTGGGCGAGTTTGGAGAAACAGGTGCCAACTTCTCTGTTTACGTCTGAGAGGATTTAAAACAAGACAGTTGTTCCAACACTTGTCTGCTTCGACTCCTGACCTTGGAAAACGTACACTGCTCATTCAAAGACAGAAATCAGAAAATGCATAATTACTCTGTAACAGACCTTAACATGAATTCTAACTTTGCATAAGCAACTCAAAAAATCATTGTTACTGTTTTACAGTTAATAAAATTGATTAGTTCACTGTAACATCTAAAATGTTTGAACTAAAACACTTTGATTATCAAACATTTGTAAAACATGTAATGATAATAGAAAAGAGAGTGTTCTTTCACTTGAATTTTCAAGAAAGAAAGTCTCAGGATGGGTGAACCTGTATTTCTGGATTCAAATCAATGAAATGACAGTTTCTGTCCCACAAGGTTCTTAAGGTCAAGGGTTTTGACCTTAGGCTTAGTTTTGACATCAGGTCAAGTTCACTACAGATGCGTCATGTTTTGTACGGATGTCATCCAGTCCACCGCCTCGACCGTCGTCATGTGTCATGGGAATGTGTTCCGTGAGGCCCAAGGCGAGGCTTCTCAAAAAGGCTCTGAACGCGCCTGTGTGCTGCGTTCGGACCGTGGGTCCACCTTGTGTTGAAGAGAAGCATGTGGCAGCTGATGACGCCGCTGGCCCCCGCATTTGACGCCACTGCAGTGAAAAACGTGTGTTGCTCCTGCCGCGAGTGGGGTCCTGCGCTGGGCTCGCTTTGCGGTCCCGCATTTAAGCTGACGGGCACTGAGAAGAGGTGAACGCGACTTCATCTACGCTGTGCCGTTTGAGTGAAGGCTGCGAGCCCCGCGGGAGCTCGCGTCTCCTTTGGTGGGACATGCGCCGCTCTCGCTGGGGCGAGATTGGTCACTGGGTTCGCTCAGCTGTCTCACGCTAATGCTGACGTGAGCAGCTGAGCTCTGAGGACCATCATCAATGCAACGCCGTTTGGGTGAAGGCTGTTTAGGTCGCGCGAGTGCACGTTTGACACCGCTTGGGTGAAGATCGTGCAGCTCGGGTTGACTACGAGTTGTTTCGCTTACCACTGTTGTGTTCTGTGAACGTCTTGCCATGTCTGGAGCAGCGGTGAGTTTGAAAACCCTTTATTTAAGGACACCGGTTCGTTTTTGTGGAGGATGTGTGCGCAGCCGCTGTGAGTTCATACAAGCTTACAGACTGGCTGAACACAGACACTTGATCATTGAATGAAGTTTTATTCAACATTTGTGTCATCTTTACACACACCCTCCACAGACCGTCATTTTGAATCTTTTCTCCCATGAGCTCTGGGATTTGTTGGCCCAGGGCGCCGTCTGCTGGGGATCTCTGGGAAAACGTTGGACACTCTGTTGCCGGGATGAAAA